CCGCAATGCTCGTGAACTTTCCGGCGGGCTGATCATTTGTGGTTTTGTCTGCAGTTGGACTGCGGGCGGAACGCGGGCGCCGCTTATGCAGTATTCCATTGTTCGTTTTCCTCTGAGGGCATCCGCAGTGGACTTTGCGCGCGCTTGTTTTTTTTTGTTGAGCATATCAGTTCGATCAGATTTGTCGTTGTTCGGCACGAGACCACTAACATGAAATTTGAAAAGGAAAAAATATCCACGCGTCCCTTCATAGCCCACGGCGAAGCCAAGACGAACGCTCCAGGGGCCTGTCCAGACGAGGGGAGCTGTAGTCTTCGATAGCGAGTCATGTGAGTCTTGTATACCCTCGCACTACCGTCTTTAGAGTGAACAAGCGTCGATTAGCGTCTGATAATTGATGGGAGAGCGCCGATGTAGCGTCGATGTAGCGTCGATCAGCGTCGATGTGGCGTCGATGTAGCGTCGATCAGCGTCGACGCAGCGTGAATTAGCGTCGATCGGCGTCGATGAGAGAGCGCCGATGTAGCGTCGATCAGCTTCGATTGAACGTCGATTCGCGTCGATTCGCAAGAGCCAGCCCGACGGCATGGAAGGCTCCCATGCGCTATACCACCGAAGCAGTCCTTACCCCGCTGGGGGTCCTTTGGCTCAGGACACCCCTCTAGAGGGATCGTCGATACAAGGGCTCTTGCCCCAGGGGGTCAGAACCACGTTTTTTGTAGTTTATGGTGATACAAAGGAGAGCACGGCTTTGAAGATCCAACAAGATAATTCAAGGTAGTAGTTTTGTAGTTTGGCGTTCGGCGATTTATTGTAGTTTGGTTGTGTTCCAACGGGAACGTCATCTTGAACAGGACACCCCCCCATCCGTGCAACTAAGTAGCCGCTCCGCCATTTCAGCTTCGGGTTATTCGTTATGAGAAGCACCATGTTTCGCCAACGTTTCGGATTTCGGAACCGACCTCCATCCGTTGCGAGGCGCGATGGGTGTCCCATTTATTGTGGAATTGATGCGACCATTGCACGAATGTTTGCGGGGCTCAGGCGGGAGCCAGTTCCGAAAGCCACACGCCCGAGATGTGTAGCTGGTGTAACCATTTTAGCCCGTGTAGCTGGTGTAACCCTTTTAGCCGGATGCGCACGGCGGGAAGGAGAGATTCGAACCTTGCACCGCCCGCCCTCCGCCCGTGAAAGTGCCGCACGGCCCGTGAGGACCAGACCTCACCTCGCGAGCATCCCGTCGCATTTTCGTGCGCGACGCCCGCGCAGCTCTGGGGCGCTGAAGGATGAACCACTCTTTGGCCGAGGAGGGGCTCTGACTTCTGGGCCGCCTCTTAGCCTTCTGGTCGGAGGGTCTGCTCGCAGCCGGGGCTCTCCGTGGCCATCTGGCGATCCGAATGGCTGCGCGTGGACTGTACTCGATGGGTGCTCGGCGGCGCCGACGGCGACGGCGACGACGACGGCCACGGCGGCGGCGGCGATGTCGGCTGCGACGGCGGCTGCGACTGCGATGGCGGCGGCGGCGACGGCGACGACGGGGCCGGGGACGCCAGCCGCGGCGGCCGACGTTGTCCGGAGGTGTGTGGGGACAGCCGGGAACCCCGAAAACACCAGTCAGGCCCGCCGCGCGCACACGCTCGCGCACCAGGCAACACCAGCCAGCCACGCGCAGAGGGGGGTAGGGGGAGGGGGGAAGGCTTCTTAGAAGCACCCCTGCTTCTTAGAAGGTGCGGGCCTTGCCTGGAAGCCTTCCCCCCTCCTTCTACCCCCTCGTCCGCCCCGCCAGCAAAACAAAAATGTACAACTTTTGAACACCTCCGAAAGCATGTGTTTTGAAGTAGATGTTCCACGCGACAGCGATGTCTTGCAGCCGAAGCATGCGGTGCAATCCATGGGGTGCAATTTATGCGGTGCAGAGCAACGCAAAGAAATACGCAGCAGCGGAAGCTAACGCAACGCGTTGCACAGCAATGCGCAGCTCTGTACAGCGATGCGAAGCCATGTATTGTAACGCAAACCAAGGCAGAACGATGCAAAGTTATGCATGTCGGCGCAAGACGATGCAAATCAATTCAAATCATTGCGACCCAAAGTAAGGCGAATTAGCGCAACACATGCAACGCAATGCGAAGCATTGCAATGCGATGCAGGCCGATGCAACGCGATGCAAAGTTATGCAAAAATCAATGCGAACAGCAATGCAATGCGATACAACGCAATGCAACGCGGTGCAAGGCAATGCAACGCAGTGCAAGGCAACGCGACGCAAAGCGATGCCACTATGCCAGGGTCTCCTATCTATGCTATGCTTCCCTATGCTGCACGAGCGGACGAGTACGAGTGGACGAGCTCGAGTGGACGAGTTCGAGGGGCGGCGACGGGCGGCAACGAGCTGGCTGGGCCAGCACTGCGGCCCAGCTCTTTGCGAACGCGAGTAAGACTCTTGAGTGTAATCACGGTTTGGGAAGGGGCGGGAAATCCCGCTCGTCTTGGTTCGAATGCATATCGGCGTATAGCGTTCGATGGTGCGACATAGGGCCCCATAGCACCTAGTAGCGCCGAATAGCTTTAAAATGGCGACCTATAGCGCCCGATAGCGCCTAAATGTCGGGTGTGGGTGGGATTGGGCGCGCTATTCTAAGGCCTCGAAGGCCGCTCGAATGCCTCCGAACACCGCTCGCATACAGTCGAGTTTGAATGGCAGGTCGACCTTGGAGTCGTCTGGGGGTCTGAGGTGGCCCAGCACTGGTTCCGGCCAGCAGAACGGGCGGGCGTTTTCTGGGCTCGGCGTTCGGGATCTTTTGCTTGTTTTTGTTGGCCTCTGGTGGGCGTTTCCGGGCACCAGTATTACGCACAACGGATTTGTGGTTGAAAATTGCACCAGATGGACCTCGGGAGGGATCCAGGGACAGATTTTGAGCGGAGTTGGCTTCATCCCGCCCTCCTGACCAATTCCCTGACCAAAAAAAAAAAAAAAAAAAAAACAATATATATATATATACATATAGTTTAAAAGGGATCCCCTGGCCGCCTCCAAGTCAAGCGTACCCCTGTGCTTTGTGTCTCGCGAGCCATGACCTCTACATTCCTGCGGCCACGTGGCCCTCGGAAGGGCCTTGCTCACCAGCCAGCCCGGAGCAGATCCCATGGTTGGCGTCGCCCGATCTCGACGTCGCGCTCGGAGACTCCCCCAGCTTTCGAAGGCGCACCCCTCCGATTGCCGACTGTCATCGCCTTTGGGCCTCTCAGTCTTTGGGATTCGGACCGGATCGGGGCGGGTGAAGTCCTGTCCTGGCCTGCTCCAGGGCCTCGCTCCGCAGTGCCCAAGCAGATCGATGACAGAATTAGTCTACCCCAGCATTTGCTTGTTGGCCGAATCTACGAAAAGTGCGTAGAACGTGTCCGGGTCCCGAGGTTACGTCGGGCGTGCCCCCCTACAGGGGGATTTCCGACGTAAAATAAACAACATTCAAAAATGATTCGAAAATGTTCAAAAAGTAGTCCACATTAACGATTTTTGAATTTTCCCCCTGTAGAGGGACAGGCCCGACTTAATCCTGAGGGAAATGGGTCTTTGATCCCAGAGGTTTCTTCCAGGACGGGTTCTTCATCTCGAGTCGTTCTCTGACTGTCCTAGGGCCCATGGAGGGCCCCGAGCGCCCGAAACCGGAAAAAAGGACAGAAAAATTGAGGACCTGTTTCCATCAGGATCGGGTTCCCCCACGGCGACAATCGAATCCGACGCACATCCAACGTGAATCCGACGCAATGTGACGCAAACCCGACGTAAATCCGTCGTGGATGCGACGTAAAGTGGATATCAAATTGCCGCGCGAGGCCTCCAGGATTGCGAAGGCCTTGCGGCCGGTGCCGCCGACCCTGAAGGGGGGAGACGACGACGACGACGACGACGACGACGGCGGCGACGACGACGACGACGACGACGACGACGACGACGACGACGACGACGCCGACGCCGACGCCGACGCCGACGCCGACGCCGACGCCGACACTGTTGCTCTGGATCCCTTCGTGGGCCATCTTGGGAGCCTCTTGGTCCCTGTTTGGGGATCTCTTGGTTCACGTCTGGGCAACTGGGTCATTTGGAGCCGCTCCGGAGCGAATTTGAGGCATCTTGGATGCATGCATCGGACGGGGCTAGGACGAGGATAAATCCGTTTTTTCAAAGCATTCCGGAACGCTCTCAGAGCGTTCCAGAACGCTCTGAGAAGGCCACGGCGCCTGAGATGTTCTCCAGAGCCGCCGGACTCAGAGATCCACGATCTATCTTCAACCAGTTTTATCTTCGTCCTGATTTCGTTTGAAGTTGCCGCGCGAGGTCTCCAAGAGCTTCCGCGTAACACTGCCTCCGAGCACCACTCGAACACCGCCGAGCAAAATCAGGAGGGAAGAAACACACCGACACAATCGCACAAGTCACTGTCGACTCCCAGGAGCATCTGGAGAAAGATAGAAAGTGGGAGGGGGGGGAAGACGAGAACCCAGAAAATAATCGGAATATAGGGGATCCCGGGATTTGTTCCTATTTCAGGCGATCGCAAACATGGATCAAGGGGGCGTGGATTAGCGACGGGCCCCGTTTCCATGGGAAATCGCGGATTTCCGTCGCCGAGAGAGGCGGCACCGGCCGCATGTTGGGGAGGGCACCTCCCCCGATCCAAGGAGTTGGCGACCGCGTGCTAAATCCATGGATCGCTAATCCATGCTTGCGCGCCCCCGACTAATTACTTTGAGTCGGGTCTGTCCCTCTACAGGCAGTTTACTTAAGAATAGTTTTAAAATACTATGGGGACGATTGTTTGACAATTTTTGTCTACTTTGGAGTATTTTTGTGAGTTGTTGTTCTTCTTCGTCCAAAGTCCGCCTGTAGGAGGACACGCCCGACCCAATATTTACTCCTGTGCTCCTGGGCCCCTCTGCAGCAGCAGGCCGCCGGGCGCCGCCGGGTGCCGCCGAGCACCCCCCCCCCGAGCCCCGAGGAGCCGGCGCACTCGACGCGGCCTGCCCGCTGCGGCTGCAGCCGCCCGTGCCGGGAGCCCGCGCGTCGCGAGGCGCCCGTTGGTCGTCGCCGTCGTCGTCGTCGCCGTCCTCGGGCCCTCGTCCTCCCACCTCCACCCGTCTCCCCTCTCCCTGGTCCTCCTCCCGCGTCCTGCTCCCTCCTCCCAGGGCCTCCTCCCTCGTCCTCCCGGCCTCCGGCTCCCGCTTGCTCCCCCCATCCCTCTCGTCCTCCTCCCTCCTCCGCCCCTTCTCCCCCCTCCCTGTTCTCCTCCCCGTCTTTTCTGATGGGCAAGCTTGGGGTCACCTGTGACCGTAGCGTTCGGTCTGATCTTTCGTCCCTCCTCCCCCGGTCATCGCCGCCGCCGCCATCGTTGTTGTCGTCGTCATCGTCGTCGTAGTTGTCGTTGTCTTTGGTCGCCGCCGCCGCCGCCGTCGTCGCCGCCGTCGCCGTCGCCGTCGCCGACGCCGTCACCGTTGCCGCTGCCGCCGTCGCCGCCGCCGCCGACGCCGCCGCCGCCGCGGCCTCTGCCGCCGCCGCCGCCGCCGTCGTCGTCGTTGTTGTCGTCGTCGTCCTCGTCGTAGTGGCGGCAACGGAACTAATCTTCGTTGGTCCCTGCACGTTCTCGTTGGTCCTTGGACGTGATCCAGCCTCGGGCTGCCTTCCAGCAAGGAGTGCCTCTTTCGTTCTTCACTTCCCCTTGGCATCGCTCGGACGTGTGCATTCTTCCTTCGGCGAGGACCATCGAGGAGCATCCTTGATCATATGGCGAAAAAAACACGCACGAAACCTAAAACAGCACAGGGAATGGACGTCCGAGCGACGGCAAGTTGGTCCTTGGACGTTATCCAGCTTCGGGCTGCCTCCCAGCAGGAGTGCCTCTTTCGTTATTAACTTCCCACACGCGCGACGCCCGAGTGCCATCGCACGGGCGGGTCTAAACCGAGGAAGGCTGCGGTCAGGAAAGCAAGGCAGTCTGCGCGACCCCAGGCCCCTCGAACCCCCGCTAGGAGCGCCCAAGGATCTCTGAGCAGGAGTCAGGGGAAAAAAAACACAGACACAATTATTCGCCGATTCCCTAAAAATATATGGGAAGCTGTGGGGAGTGGGGGAAGGCAAAAACTCAGAAAATTCAATATAATCTTGGGGATCCTGTTATTTGTGTGTATGTATTTGTGTGTCCTGGGGCCCCTTCAAGGAGGAGGGAGGGCGTTTCGGGGCTGCCCGGATCGTCCCAAACGACCTGGACAGCGGAGCCGCAACCCCGGGGGCAACGTCAGGGGGGCATGGTCGCAGGGAGGGGATGCGTCGACCCCCCCAGCTGCCCATGCATCGCCTAATTGCGGGGGCCATTCGCCCCATGCATCCATCGCCGATGGGGGCCTGACAGCTCGAACGCGGCTTCGCTGTCGGGGGCCGATCGCCAATGAGATTAATTTGTCCCACATCCTAAGTGGGGTCCTGGTCTTCTCTGCACACATGCACACATACACACCGCAGAAGACTGACTCCCTCTCCTCTCCCGTCCTTCTACAGTCCTCCTCATCATCAGCAGCATCATCGCTTCTCATCGTTTCATCACCAATAATATCATCACCATCCTGCATCTCAACATTATTATCATCACCTTCAGCCACCATGATCGCACACACTCATTCGCACTCTTTCGCGGACGCACACGTACACTCATCTTGAAGAAGTCTCCAGCGGGAGCTCCGTCTGTGAGTGAATCGCGAGGAAGTCTCGAGCGGGACCCCTCCCAATGGGGTCCCCACCTCCACGTTCGAATCTGAACGGGTCATCCAGATTATGTAACCGTTGCCATTGTGTTCAGGTCTGAATCTAGGGAATATTCGAGCGGGAGCTTTGTGCGTGAGGGAATCGCCAGGAAGGATTGAGCTGGAACCCGTCCATATAGGGTCCCCACACCCATGTTCGAATCCGAACGGTCCATTTAGATGTTGTAACCGTCGTCATGTTTGGGCCTCTCAGGTTTGAATCTGGAGGAAGTCTCGAGCGGGAGCCTCGTGCGTGAGCGAATCACTAGGAAGTCTTGAGTGGGAACCCCTCTCCACGGGTTTCCCATTTCCATGTTCCAATCCGAGCGGGTCATCCAAATCCCAGCCTGTCGTCATGTTTGGGATCTCAGGCTTGAATATGGATAAGGCTCGAGCGGGAGCTTTGTCTTTGAGTGAGTCGCGAGGAAGTCTCGAACGGGAGCCGTTTCCCTATGGGGTCACCGCCTCCATGTTCGAACCCGAACGGGTCATTTAGAGTTTGTGATTGTCGTCTCTTGTGGGCTCCCCATGCCTGAAGTTGGAGAACATCTCGAGCGGGATCCTCGTTTTGAGAGAAGGGCGAGGCAGTCTCAAGCGGGAGGATTCCCACCTCCATGTTCGAGTCCGAGCGGATCATTCAGATCCTATATGTGTCGTCATGTGTTGGTTTCTCGGGCCTGAATCGGGAGGAAGACAGCCCCTCGAGCGGGAGCCTCGTCTTTGAGCGAATCGCCAGGACGTCTCGAGCGGGCAGCCCTCCCCATGGGGTTCCCACACCCCATTCTCGAATTGGCATGGAGATGGTCCGCGAGCATTTGGAAACAAAGATCCCCGATCCGAAGGTCCCTAGCAGCCACCGAGGTCTCGAGACAGACCCTCTTCATCCTTGTCGCCGTCCCCATCCTCCCTCCCTTCCCACCCCTTCTTTCTCCTTCCTCGTCCCTGTTTGAAAGGCAGAAAGATGCATACACTGAAACTTTCGGAGGTCCCCTCGGATTTCTTGCATCGGCGCTGGACCTCCCTCCCTCCCTGGCGCGCGGTCCGAACAACTATGCTTGTGCAGCTTGTTCCTCGTCCTCTTAGAGTCCCCCCCCGATCCCCCCCTCGCTCACCTCCCCCCTCCCCCCGCCTCCCCCCATCCACCCTGCCCGAGGTCCCCGCAGGTCCCAAGAGACCCCCTGGAGGCCCCAAGGATCTGCTTTCTGGACGTGGGGTGAAGTGAGAAGGAGAAGGCCTTCTCAGGAGGCTCGGAAGTCCCCTGGCCTTCTGCGAAGTTTTCTAAGCTTGCCCCGAAGGCACAACCATTTTTCAGAAGGCGCGAGGGCTTTGAGAATTCCCGCCGCCTTCTGAGAAGGCCTTCTCCTTCTCACTTCCCCCCTCGCTCGCCGCCGGCTACCCTTGGAACCCCACCCCTCAGGACCCCATCTTGGAACCACCGGCCACAACAAAAAACGATCCGTCGATCCCCGCAGACGCCGAGCCCCCCCCTCCCGCCAGGCTGCGGCCCGTCTGCGGGCGGCGCCTGTGGCCCCCTCAGCGGCAGCAGGAAGCGCCGCCCTCTGCTCGTCGTCGTCGACGTCGGCATCGTCGCTTTGCGTGAAGTCGAGCGTGTCCCTCTACAGGAGTAACTATTCGAACATAGTCATGGATAGTTCGGGAACGACATGTTTGTATTCCTAATGATTTTTGAGTTACTTTGACAATCGCCAATTTTTCGCTCAAAATCCGCCTGTAGGAGGACATGCTCGACCTAAAGGTGGTTTGGGGCGTTTCTGATATTGTGGGCGTTTCTGGAGGTTCTTGTCGCCACCTTTGAGCGCAGCTGGAGGAGCTGACTCGCATGGGCTCCAGGGAGGGGTCGGGGGTTGGGCTTGGGGCGGAGTCTCGGGCTCTCCAAGGCTCGGCAGGGGGCCGGGGCGGCAGGGGTTTGGGCGAGGAGGGGTGGGGATCGCGGCGCGAGGATGCAGGTGTCTGCAAGTGGGCGACGCAGAACATCTAGGCCTCCCAACTGGCGTCCGAGGATTGCGCCGCATCGCCGATGCAGCGACGGTGCGGCTCGATATGGATCCCGAATTTCTCCACGCCGACGGCGCCGATGCATCACTGGTGTCGCCGATGTATCGCCGATGTATCGCCGATGCGTCGGCGATGCATCGGCGATGAATCGGCGATGCGGCGCGATCCTTCGACCCCCCCATCTATTCGGATCCCATATGGGAGGCCTCTAGCATTTGCAAGTGCGCGGCGCAGAAAAAACAGGATCGTCTGCACCCACATTTGCGCGTAAGTTGCCCGCGTAAGATCGCGCGTGAGTTAGCGGGCGAAGAACGGTATCACATCGATTGTTCCGCCGTCGAGGACGTTTGTCCCCCAGGCTGCTGTAAAGTTCACACCCGTACGTGGCACCATATATTTTACAGCTGCCCAGTGGGTTGGCGCCCTTGACGGCGGAAACAATGTGCCCAGGAGGGCGCAGACCTTGGAGGATTCCTTATTTGATGAGGGCCGCGGTGATATCCATGGCCAAGCCTCAAGAGGAGTTCCACCGGCCTCCAGACCCCAGATTACTCGTCTAAGGGTTCCTTATCCAGTGCCCCCACCGTACCGTTCTTCGCCCCCCAAAGGGGCGCCCTCGTTTCCAGTGTGGCATGCCGCCCTGGCGGCCCGCGTAAGCCTCCGCGTGGGGTCGCTGTGCCATCGTGCGCGAGAGCCCCTCGTCGCTCCAGCGTTCCGCCCTTCCCGGGCGTCCCGGGAGGGGCTCCCTCCAGGGGAAGATTGCGGGAGCCTTCGGCACAGTCGGAGGACTGCCTCTCGGCATCGCTCGGGCGTGTGAGTGTTTTCTCGGCGAGAACCATCGAGGACCATCCTGGACCGTCGAGCAAACAAAAAGAAGCACGAAACCAGAAACTGCATGGGAAATGGACGTCCGAGCGACGGCAAGGCCTCTGAGGCCTTCTCGGGCGTGGCCGAATGGGGGGCGGTAAAGGGAGGGGGGGAGGGGGGAGAGAGAGACGTGCACTTTTCGGGCCCTGAAGGCCCCCTTGGAGCCGGGGCACCTCGAGTGGCCCTGAAGGGGCGCCTGATCTGCAGGCCTCGCTGCCCCTCCATGCATCGCCCCCTCGTTACGCCGCGCCCATCCTTCGATGGAGCTCCCCGTGGGGCCACGAGGCTTGTGACGGGTGTGCTGGCATGATTTGCAGTGTGTCATGTGGGCCCCCCTCTGGGACAGGTTCCCCCAGACCTCCCAAGCGGCGGAATTTGGGGCCCTGGCCTACGGGTCTCTTTGCCTCCTTGGGCCCTCTGAAGGTTTCAGCGATTGTCTCAATGTTTGCAAAGCTTTTCTTTTGGAGAGGCCCAAGCGTCTCTCCTACAAGCGGCCGTACTCTGGGTTAATGATTAATGCCCTTCAGTCTGAGTTGACCAGTCTTCACAAGGTGAAGGCCCATGTGGCGGATTCCCCAGATTTAACGGCCGATCAGCGTTTCTTCAAGCTGGTAATGACGAGGCCGACAGAGCGGCCAAGCGAGGAGCGGACATGCATGCCAGAGGTTCTCAGGCCGAACTGGATTCTGTGGACTGGCAACTCAAGGTTGCCAAGAGCGTTGGCCTGCTGGCAGCCCGTCTCCTCCCGTCTTGGCCTAGGCTCAACCTCGACGGAGTTGATTTTATCGCCCCTGTCCGTGCTTTGGAGTTGCCGCCCCCTCCTGCGGAGCAGTATCATCATGAGTGGTTGTGGTGTGCCACGCTCTGGCGTTGCAGCGTTTGTCTCCGCAGCCGCAGACAGTCTGTGAAGCCTGATCTTTCAGGGTGCTCGGGCCAGCTCCCTGACGTGGCCCTTTCCATACGGGATAAGGGCCACGTTATCACGGCCCTTCTCTGTTCGAATCAAAGCATGCTTTGTTTTTGTCATCTCTGCTGCGGGTACAGCTGCGGTGGGAGATTCAAGAAGCTCAGTAAGTCTTGCATCCGAGAGCCCGAGGGGCCCAGGAAGTCAAAGTACGCGTCCTCGGTCCTGAGGGCGCTGCGGAGGGGGAGACATCCCAGGCTGGCTGGAGTTTTCTGTGAAGTGTTTGACCCCGCCGCCGAAGCGAGCGAGTCTGAGGCTGTCGATCGGGCCGAGCCTGTAGGGCTTTCTCAGGCCTGCAGACAGCTTCGGGGGGAGGGTGAGTACGCTCCAGACCGGCATCCCCTTTCAGACAGCTCGGACTGACCGCATCAGGCGGGTAAACTAGTCCGAGCTTTTCTTAACTCAACCCGAGCTGGCTCGGGTTCAGGGCGCCTGTCAAAAAAATAGTAGGGGCTCCTGGGAGACGGATGCGTTCGGGAAAAAACATGCCCATCCATCCCCAGGAGATTAAAATAGTGATGCCTTATGGTGCAGATTGCAATTGTACATATCTAAATACATCTACATGATTTGCAAGTGGTTTACGCCATTCCGCCGGACCCCAGCGGAGTAGAGACGTCCAGGGCGGTCGGTAGGCTATGTTGGCGCTGGGGTGGTTGAGTGCTTTTTAAGGCACGCATCGGCCACGCGCAGAGGGGAGTAGGGGGAGGGAAGGGGAAGGCTTCTCGGAAACACCCCTGCTTCTTGGAAGGCTCGGGCCTCGTCTGTAGAGGTAGGGCGGGCGTATTCTAAGAAGCGGCCTGCTTCTAAGTGGCAGTCCCTCCTCCCCCATATCCCCTTTTGCGCGCCGCCAACCGCCAGCGCAGGCGTCGGCCCTCTGTGCGCATCGGCTGCTATCCGAGGGCAGTCTTTGATGTTCAGACCCCCCCCTGCGCTCTCGGCTGGGACTGAAGCTCGTCCTCGCCCTCCTCGTCCTCCCCCTCCTCGTCCTTCCCCTCCTCGTCCTCCTGCTAATCCTCCCACGCACTGGGCGTCGCTGGCTCTCTCCTCCCCCACCATGCGCGCCGCCAATCGTCGCCCTACCCGCGGGGGGCCTGCCCCGCAAAGGAGCCTCCTGTGCGCCACCGCGCGCTGGCCGCTCGCGCCCAGCTGCGCCACGGCGGGCGCCGTGCTCCGCCAGCGCGCGCCCTTGCCTCCGCCTCCTCCTCCTCCTCCTCCTCCTCCTCCTCCTCCTCCTCCTCCTCCTCCTCCTCCTCCTCCTCCTCCTCCTCCTCATCCTCATCCTCTCCTCCTCCTCCTCCTCCTCTTCTCCTCCTCCCTTCCTCCTCCTCCTCCTCCCCTCCTCCTCCTCCTCCTCCTCCTCCTCCTCCTCCTCCTCCACCCTCCACCTCCTCCTCCTCCTCCTCCTCCTCTTCCCCTCCTCCTCCTCCGCCTCCTGCTCCTCCTCCTCCTCCTCTTCCTCCTCCCCCCTCTCCTCGTCCCCCCTCCTCCCCCTCCTCCTCGTTTTCCTCCTCTCCCCCTCCGCCCGCCTCCTCCTCCCCCTCCTCCTCCGCCCCCTCCTCCGCCTCCCCCTTCCGCCTCCTCCACCTCCTCCTCCTCTTCTGCTTCCTCCTGCTTGTGCTCCTCCTCCTCCTCTCCTCCTCCTCCTCCTCCTCCTCCTCCTCCTCCTCCTCCTCCTCCTCCTCCTCCTCCTCCTCCCCCTCCTCCTCCTCCTCCTCCTCCTCCTCCTCCTCCTCCTCCTCCTCCTCCTCCTCCTCCTCCTCCTCCTCCTCTTCCTCTTCCTCCTCCTCCTCCCCCTTCTCCTCCTCCTCCTCCTCCTCCCCTCCTCCTCCCCTCCCCCCCCTCTCCCTCGCCCTCGCCCTCCCTCCGCCTCCTCCTCCCTTTCCTCCTCCTCCTCCTCTTCCTACGTCAGGAGCCGACATGCGTTTGCTTTGTTTTGTTAATATGTGGGAGGGCCTGAACCGAATCTGCTTGAAACGCCTTCCTACTGCATGCTTCTACATACTTTTTCCGAGTGACGTCGACCCGCAAAATGAGCTTGAGCGAGTTTCCAAAGGAACCCCTGCATCCCTTCCCTTGAGCCCATCCTTGTCCGCTGTCGCTGGCCGCGCCCCGCTCGCCAGGTCTGGACATGGCTTTCCAATGCTCTTGCATCCTTATCGTGCGTCATGACGATACGGGTCTGTCGGCTGTATAATTTCACCCACTCCGCCCCATGGTAGGGTTTTGGCGTGAACGCGGGTGTGGGCATGAGTAACGGCGGTCGCATGAAACCGTCGTCGTAGTTGCAGTGGCATCCGTCGCCTGTTTCGAACGACTCCCTCTGGAGCTTGAGGCCGCATCACTGCACCCGATGAACCACATGTTCTGAGCATGCCCTCCGTCCTTCTCCCTTCGCGGCCGCCTCTGATTCTTCCTCGGCGCGCCTCCTTGTGCCCAGCTCACGCTTCCGTGGACGGTTGCCACTTCGACCGCGAAGCGACCGCCCCACCGCCGCCGACCCGAAACAACCAAATCGTCTTCCTCGGTCGGTGCTGCCATTGTAGTCTCGTGCGTCGTCGCCGGATGACGAGGAGTGGGAGGATGAGCGAGAGGGGAGGAGAGAGCTTGCAGGAGGGATGGGCCCCCCCCCCGTCCCAGAGCCCATATCGGTCCAGTCCGATGGATCCGATTCGATGTTGCTGTTCCCATCCGATTCGACTCTGATACGCCGACGGCCCCCAACGGTTCGATGCTTCCACGGCGCTGCTCTTCATCCTGGTTCGGCCGATCGGCCTCGATCCCGCCCCCGGGCTGGTGCAGCCCTGCCCGGCGTACATGTCCAATGCGCTGCCAGCTGGACTTGCCCACTCCCCCCCCTCTGCTCCTTCCGCGGGCGCGCCGGGGCGATCACCCCCTTGCTTCGGTGCGGGGGGGTGGCGGGGGGGGGCGAGGGAGCTGGGAGGGGGAGAGAGGGACCAGCCGGAGACGCGTGCCTCCGGGGACGAGTTCGCTTCGGAGTCCATTTTCCTGGATAACTCCGTGGCCGCAGGGGTCCGAGCTCCGACCCCTCAGCATGTTCGCTTCCACCTCCTCGCCGCCCTCCTCGCGGTGTGGCGCCGCGCGCTGCGGCGGCGAAGTCGGAGGGGGGGAATGTGCGGCCCGAGGGTTCGAACCGCGCGGATTCTTCTCCCCCCATCTGGACCGAGTGCGAAAATGAAGGAGAGGAAGGTCGGGATATCCTGATCCCTGATATTGGCACCCTCTTTTTTTGGCACCGGCCCTTGGGATTCGCCCATTTCCCGAGGGCGCACCCCTATGACTACAGCCAGTGCGTTGGAAAACGGTCCAGTTTGAGGTCGGAATAGGCTCGGCGGTTCTATGCGTAACGCTGTTTCGTGTTTCGTTGGTGGCGAGCCTCTTCTGGGCGACTCCGGATTGTACGGCCGTTCCTCCGGATTCCACGGCTCCCCTTGGAAGAAAGGGACAATGTTTTTGTTCAATAGTTTTTGTTGTGGGGGCAATCCCGATTGCGCCATCGTCTTTGTCGTGAGCTCTCGACCTCGGTCGAGGAGGGGGACCCCCCTGGCCGCGCATGGCGAGTGGTGCGCGGCTCTGGGTGGCGCCGCCCTCGACGCTGCAGGCATACCGCAGCGCGCGCGCGCTCCGGGTGGCCCGCGGACGGTGGCCTGGACTCGGCCGGCGCCAGGCCATTTGCGACGTCGGGAGGCCGTGATCGCTCAAGGCTTGGGAAGCTCTCCCGGGCCTGCCCGAGGCTCCGTCTCTGCAGCCCCGCCTTCCGTCGGGAGAGTGGCCGCCAGGATCCCATGTCGGACCGGTCCCCTCCAGATCCAGATAGGGATCCGAGGTCGCCCGACGCTGTTTCGTCGCGCGGAGGTCCGCTCCTCTGAAGAGGCTTCAGACTTGCAACCGGGGGCCCCCAAGCGGGGTGGTGACCACACCGTGTGGTGAGTCGGTGGGGATTCGGGGTCACCGCAGTTGGGACTCGGGTCGTTCTCCGAGGACATTTCGGGCGATTGGGGCATCCGAGGTCCCAAGACCGTGCATTGACGGACCGTGCGGTGAGGTCTTGGGGGATTTCGAGGTCACCGCACGGTCTGTCACCGCACCGTTTCGGAACTCCAAATGACCAGGGCGTCCCCCAGAGAGCTGGCCACCCCAAATTGACAATCAAGGTTGAGCGATCTTCCATGTGTCAGAAGATCCAGTGCCCAAGCCGGCAACGACACGAGCCTGCCGCATGGCTGCCGACTCCGAACTCAAAGTGCGGAGCCATCCCGGCTCCTCTGCAAGTCGAGTTCTCGTCCCAGTCTCCGCCGTCGTTGTCGTCCTCGTCGTCCTCGCCGTCCTCGTCGTCCTCGCCGTCGTCCGTTGCCGTCATGGTCGCTGCCGTTCTCGCAGTCGTCCGCCGCCGTCGTGGTCGCCGAGACTCCCTCTCCTCTCCGTCGCTATCTGCTCCCTCCAGCCCGCAGCCTCCTCCAAACCCGCGAAGCCATGATCTGTTCACAACGTCGGCCCGAGAGGTCTCGATCCATTCCCCGGGACCGGCTTTTCACCCCGAGATGTTTTGTTGACGGTCCCAGGGCTCGGCGAGATCCCCCAGAGGCTGAAAATTGCTAAGCATTTCCCGTCGCCATTTCTTCACCACGCGATGGTGCCTGGGCCCCCCCGCCCGCGTTTGTTTTTCTGTGTGTGAAACCAGGCATAGTCAAGCTTATTTGGACTTTTTGATCCGCCTTTCTTTGGTAAGATGAGGTTCAATGCCCATTTAACTCGGGCTTCAGAGCCATCAGCCGTTATTGCGAAGACTTCCCAGGAGTTGTTGCCGATGACCCGAGGGAGGAGAAGGGGAGGAGGAAGGGGAGGACGAGGGGGAGGAAGGAGGAGGGAGGAAGAGGGAGGAGGAGGAAGAGGAGGAAAGGGAGGAAAAGGAGGAAAAGGGGGGACAGGAGGAAAAGGAGGAAAAGAAGGATAATGAGGAAACGGAGGATAATGAGGAAAAGGTGGAGGAGGAGGAGGAAGGAGGAGGAGGGAGGAGGAGGAGGAGGAGGAGGAGGAGGAGGAGGGAGGAGGAAGGAGGAGGAGGAGGAGGAGGAAGGAGGAGGAGGAGGAGGAGGGAGGGAGGAGGAGGAGGAGGAGGAGGAGGAGGAGGAGGAGAGAGGGAGGAAGAGTGGGGATGGGGATGGAGGAGGACGGAGGAGGAGGAGGAGGGAGGAGAAGGGAGGAGAACGAGGAGGCGGGAGGAAGGGAGGGGAGGAGGAGGGAGGAAGAGAGGGGAGGAGGAAGGAGGAGGAGGAGGAAGGAGGTGGATGACCACGAGGGGGGGGGATAGGGACGAGGGGGGGGGAGGCGCCCCCGCCCTCCGCCGGCGGCGAGCAGGCGGCGACCTCTGCCGTGCAGTCCGCTGCCGGGCTCGCTGGGCCACCCGCGTGGTGGGGCCCGCAGGAGGCGCGCGGCGCTCCGCGGCGCCTGCCGGCCGGTCGAGCTGAGACAACCAAGGATGTTCTAAGTCGAGCAGTGGCGAAGCGGCCTGGCTCGCCCATAGGCCCACCAAAGAATGTGCCAGGAGCCGTTTGTGGCTTGCACGCCATGGCCTCCGAACATTTCTGGCTGAGACCGTTTCTGTTTTCTCCAGCCCGGTTGTTCTTAGAACAACGTTTGGCTCTGAGAGCATGTCGTGGTGGGCCCATGTAGGAGCGCCGGGACGGTGGGTCCTTGCTCAATTGAGTCAAGTTGGATCTCAGGGGCAGCGACGGGACGGGGGATCAGGCATTAGGATTGCGATGCATCGACCGCCAATCGCCCAGTGATTGCCAGCATGGGCCCGACAGCCCCGACCTGCCCAGGAGCGTGCGGATTCACCTGCCGGGGCCCTGTCGCCGATCTATTGGCGATGCATCGCCGATTCCAGGTCGACGTGTCCCCCCTATGCCGGCCCCCCCCCCCCTATCGTTACCCCGCACGGCTGCACGTAAGTCAGGCAGTTTTGAGGCGTCTTGGTTTGCCCATATGGGCACAATGGCACGTATAGCGCGCACGGCTCCCCTCGATGGACAAAGTGTCACTCACCTTCCATGCGTGCTACACGAAATCTACTTTTCAAAACCATATTAGGTTCCTCTTATATATAGATATATGTATACAAAAGTGCGTGCATGCTATACGTGTCTATGTTGCAAGCGGACGTGCACGCTAAACGTCTTACGTTGGCGATATGTTTGCATTGCCACTTTTCAGGGTGCACTCTTATACGAGGGGAGGAGGAAGAGGAGGAGGAGGAGGAGGAGAAGAAGGAGCAGGAGGAGGAGGAGGGGGTGGAGGAGAAGGAAGAGGAGGCGGAGAAGGAAGAGGAGGAGGAGGCAGAAGTGGCTCGGGCCTGCGGAGGCCGAAAGGCCGAGTGTGGCTACTCGAGGGGGCACGGGAGGTCCAGCTTTTTGACGGGTTCTCTGGCCTCTTGAGGGGTTCTTGGGGGCCTTAGGGGGCCTCTTGGCAGCGCATCGGTGGGCCATGAAAGCATTCATACGCAAGTCTTTTGTCAGTCTCGGGCTGACGTTTCGTCACTTGCGGGACTCTGATGAGCCGAATGCAATTATTGTTGATGAAGTGCATGCAACGTGCAAGGGCATGGAATTATGTATCCAACATGTGCTCCCCAGCGTGTTCGGAAGCGCCGCTGCCGCGCGCCAGGGAGGGGGGTCCGGCGCAGATCCGAGAAATCCGCGTGGAGCGCCGAGAGTGTATGTTTATGCCGTTGTTCCTTCCTCTGCCCTCGCAGTGCCTGCGCGCGCTCCTATAATGGTCGATCTTGGGCCCCCAAAACCTGTTGGTGACCACACCGTGCGGTGAGTCGGTGGGGATTCGGCATCACCGCACGGTTTTGGGACTCGGGGTCGTTCTCCAAGGACGTCTCGGGCGACGGGGGCCTCCGGGGCTCCCCAGCCCGTGCGGGGACGGGCCGTGCGGTGAGGTCTCGCGGGGGATGTCGAGGTCACCGCACGGTCCGTCACCGCACCGCTTCGGGACGCCAAAACAGCAAGGGCGGCCCCCAGAGAGCTGGCCACCCCAAATTGACAATCAAGGTTGAGCGACCCTCCAGGTGTCAGAAGATCCGGCGCCCCAGTCGGCAACGACAAGCCTGCCGCATGGCTGCCGACTCCGAACTCAAAGTTCATGGCTTCCGACTCCGGCTCCTCTGCAAAAGCCGAGTTCTCGTCCCAGCCTCCGCCGTCCTCGCCGTCCTCGCCGTCCTCGCCGTCCTCGTCGTCCTCGCCGTCCTCGTCGTCCTCGCCGTCCTCGTCGTCCTCGCCGTCGTCCGTTGCCGTCGTGGTCGCTGCCGTTCTCGCAGCCGTCCGCCCGCCGTCGTGGTCGCCGAGACTCCCTCTCCTCTCCGTCGCCATCTGCTCCCTCCAGCCCGCCGCCTCCTCCAAACCCGCGAAGCCCGAGAGGTCTCGATCCATTCCCCGGGACCGGCTTTTCACCCCGAGATGTTTTTTGACGGTCCCAGGGCTCGGCGAGATCCCCCAGAGGCTGAAAATTGCTAAGCATTTCCCGTCGCCATTTCTTCGCCTCTCCGTCGCTAGCAGCTCCCTCCAGCCCGGGCCCGCCGCCCGCCCCCCGAGGGGCGCCCCGCCTCCGCGGCGCTCGCGCCGCCGCGGCCGCGGGCGGCCCCGCCCGGCCCCGCCGCCCACGGACGGGCCCCGGCCGCGGCCGGCGGGCGGCCGGCGCCCTGCCCCGGAGTTGACGACTGCTGGGCCTCCTCGGTGCAGGAGGAAAAAAACACACAGAGACACAACGAATCGTCGATCCCCAGGAAGATATGGGAAAGTAGGGATTGGGGGGAGGACAAAAACCCAGAAAAGATGGGAAAAGGTGGGGAATCCTTTGATTTGTGGGTATTTATGTGTGTGTCCCAGGGCCCCTTCATCGGCGTGGGTCGGGCATGGTCCCTCTGCAGGGGGAATGTGATCGGAGGTGGACGGACCTCCGAATTAGCGATGGCACGTCGATTAGCGAGTTGGCCGTGGTCGGTTCCCGAGAGGGCGTCGCGGCCGTCGTTTTTGCGGGTCCAGGTCCGTCGGTGTCGGTCCCAGGCCCTTCTGACTAAAGGGTGGTTTGCTAAAGTGAGGTCCACCGCCCATATTAACAAATAAATGAAAAATGGTCTGGGTTTTTTTTCGCAGGAACAGATTGTTGAACATGTTTTGAGTACGTTTGCTGTTTCGTCCAACATGCGCATGTAGGAGGACACGCCCGACCTAATCCTAGATGGGGTCCGAGTAGATTGGGTCGGAAGATCGCGCCGCATCGCCGCGGCATCGCCGATTCGGCCCGATGTGGGACCCTATTTGCTTCACGTCGACGTCGCCGTTGCATCGCCGACGTCATCAATGCATCGCCAGTGCATCACCGATCCATCGCCGATGCATCGCCCATGCATCGCCGATGTATCGGCGATGCGGCGTGATGAGCTCCGACCCCATATACCGGACCGGGACCCCATCGAGGAGGCCTCTACAACTGTTTGCACTGCCTGGAATATGGTAGCCCTGAAGGGTCTTTAGAGCCCCCCAATACGGGGTCACTATTTCTTTTTCCGGCGGCCTTGTGGAAGGTATGGGGTCCCACTACTAGAAGGTAACTTGTTTTGTTTCTGCGGCGCCCGCCGCGCAACAACGACGACGACGATGAGGAGGAGGGGCAGGAGGAGGAGGTTTTAGGACAAGTCCGATTCACCGCCGAGAGAAAAGGGGGGAGAACAAACAATTGCATTAACAAAAACTTTCGACGGTCTGCGTCGAACTCGAACAGCTTGTGTTTATCACAGAGCGCGTCCCACTACCCGCAAATTGCCTACTCGCAAACGTCCGGAGAAACACACATGCGTGCCTCGATGTGACGGATCGTAAATCCATCTCGCCGGATTCAAGCCATTTGCGAGTAGTTTGTTTGCGAGTAGTGGCACGCGTTTGTCAAGTTTTTGCCGTGCTTCGTTTCTCTAAGTCAGGCGACTTTCATCGTCGAGCTGCTTGTGTTCGTCGCCTTCGGCTCTTCGTCGTGTCTGGCCTCCGGGGGGCCGCTTTCGGGCCCCAGGGACCGTCAGAAACGGGCGCGGGATGAAAACCTTCTCCCAGGGAAGCCCCCTGAACGATCCGATTAGTTACGTTGCATCTTAGGGGCCTCGCCTGTCCCAAAACATTGTGTCTTTTCTTGTGCCCGACGCGGGCTCGATGCGGACTCGATGCGGATGTGGCGTGGATTCGACGCAGATTCGATACGGATTCGACACGGGTTTGATGAATCCGACATGGATTCGACGCGGATAGGACTGCGACGGGACAGACAAGGTCACCCGAAGATGCAACATCAGATTCTCCGACGCGGCCTACAACAGTTGCATTATGTTTCAAAGGGGACGCAACACCCATAACATATTTATGCGACCCGGGAGACTTCTCGAGGCAGAATTCTGCGGGTTGCTACAGGTGCGTGTTGCTGGATGGGGGTCCCCGGTCGAATGGGAGGCACCCTCGGGGTCTGACAACCGGGGCCCATGCTTCTAGCGCGCCCTCAAAACGCGAGGCGCGGGTCTGCAGCCCCTTCTAGGTATGAGGGTGTATTTCTCGTTCTCCCGGCTTCGGGCCTTAGGACCACCACAGCTCGGTCTGGCCCGAAGCATACCGTAGTTGGGCCTAGGGTTTTGGTCGCGATTTCCCACGACGATGTTGTAGTTTGTCCGCGACGACGGATCTCAAGGAGGAAGGGGACCTCGGAGATACACCCCAGGGAGTCTCTCCGGACATTCTCTCGATCGAATATTTGAGCCGGGCCCAAGTTTCTCTGTTCGTTTAGAAACCCCACGAAGTCGGCGATGGGGGGCGACATATATCTCCCGTTGGCCCTCGCGGCGCGCGCGGGGGGAGGTCCGATCTGGGCGTCGCGAGAACGTCGCGACGGCCGTTTTGTCTGCGCCTTCGGCCTGCCGGGGCCCTCGCTGAGCCCCAGCGGGGCGACAGAGGAGGAAGGGTGAGCACCCGGGGCCCAGGGGAGAGGGCGCCGCCGTTATCTCACCACCCACCAAACCACCCCAACCCAACCCGAAGGCCCAAATTTATCCTCGATTTCCAGTGGGGGGGGGTCGGGGAACGTTGAAAAAACACATGGTATCCGTACCCCCCCCAACCCGAAGTTCGGGTCAAATTTGGGTTTTCGGGTTGGGTTGGGGTGGTCTGGTAGGTAGTCATTATCTCCGGGATCCCGCGCTGGAGCCCAGCAGACAGCGTCGGACCTCGGGGTCAGCGCGTGGGGGGGGCGGCTCGCGTCATCGAAGAGGCGGGCGAGCTGCACGGGAAGTCGGGGGTCTCAGAAGGGCCGCGCCGCACCCCTCGCGCGCGACCCGCGCGTGCGCGGCGCCGAGCGCCCTCGCGGGATCGCCAGTCGAAGAATCCGCT